ATGAGTGGCTAGTGGTGGGTCAGGGTTTTGGCTCTTTGTGGGTGTTTATGTTGGGATTGTGAAGTGTATTTTGGCCAGGGATGAATGGAATAGAGGGTGGGTTTTATTTGTTGAATAAAAGGCTTAAAAGAAGGAAAATAACAACAAACAAAAGGTTTATTTTACACAACCTTATTTTCGGCCATGGGCTAAAATAAGTGTAGGAAAACTTTATTTTGAAAGGAATTAAATGGAGAGTTTTGGATGTTTAGGGTGGGGTTTGGCGGAGTGGGAGTTGGTTGGCAGAACCCTTAGGTCCGAAGTTATTTTTGGCCTCTCGGGTTGAAGGACTTTGAGTTCTTACTAAAATAGATCATAATGTTTGAACCTAAGTCCTTCGGTTTTTATGATGGTGTGGGACATGGGGGAGGGTATGATAGGGCCAGGCCCGGATATAACAATTGGACCTTGGCCATGCAAGAGGAGCTAAACCAATTCAAACGGAAAGACGTTTGGGAATTGGTGCCAAGGCCCGATGATCGTACGATTATTGGTACGAAATGGGTGTTCCGTAACAAACTTGATGAAAATGGAATAATCACTAGAAACAAAGCTAGGCTCGTAGCTAAAGGCTACAATCAAGAAGAAGGCATTGATTTCGAAGAAACTTATGCACTCGTAGCACGTTTAGAAGCTATTCGTTTACTTCTTGCTTTTGCTTCGTCTATGGATTTTAAACCTTATCAAATGGATGTTAAGAGTGCCTTCCTCAATGGTTTTATTCAAGAGGAAGTGTATGTTGACCAGCCCCCGGGGTTTGAAGACTTTGAGTTTCCCGACCATGTCTTCAAACTCCAAAAAGCGCTCTACGGTCTTAAACAAACACCCCGTGCTTGGTACGAACGTTTGAGTAAATTTCTTTTGGATAGTCGTTTCCAAAGGGGAAAGGTTGACACCACACTTTTTATCAAGAGTAAAAACAATAACATCCTTTTGGTTCAAGTTTATGTAGACAATATTATATTCGGTGCTACTAACGAGTCTTTGTGCAAGGAATTCTCAACGTTAATGACAAGTGAATTTGAAATGTCAATGATGGGCGAGCTCACGTTCTTTCTGGGACTCCAAGTCAAGCAAATGAAAGATGGCACGTTCATCTGCCAAACTAAATATTGCAAGGAGCTCCTAAAACGGTTCGAAATGGACAACGCCAAAGCCATGGCGACCCCGATGAGCACGTCCGACCATCTAGACAAAGACGAAAAAGGTAAGGAAGTAGAATTAAAAAGTATCGAGGTATGATCGGATACCTTCTCTATCTTACCGCTAGTAGGCCGGATATCATGTTTAGCGTATGCCTTTGCGCAAGGTATCAATCATGTCCGAAGGAATCGGACTTATCGGCGGTGAAACAGATTATGAAATACCTTGTTGCCACGGTTAACATTGGACTGTGGTATCCAAAAGGCTCTTCGTGTCATCTTGTTGGCTATTCCGACTCGGACTTTGCCGGTTGCAAATTGGACCGTAAAAGTACGAGTGGGACTTGCCATCTACTTGGTAGCTCTTTAGTTTCATGGTTTAGTAAGAAACAAGTTAGTGTTGCGTTATCCACAACTGAAGCGGAATACGTTGCCGCCGGTAGTTGTTGTGCTCAAATCCTATGGATGAAGCAACAACTCGTGGACTATGGCCTCAGTATCAGTCACGTTCCACTTCGTTGTGATAATACTAGCGCCATAAGCTTGACGAAGAACCCTGTTCTTCATTCAAGGACGAAACACATTGACATTAGGCACCATTTCATTAGAGATCATGTTCTCAAAGGTGATGTCGAAATTGAGTTTGTTGAAACACACAACCAATTAGCCGACATTTTCACAAAACCTTTAGAGAAAGAGTCGTTCTTCCGCATTCGCAGTGAACTCGGAATCCTTGACTCCACGATGATCTAATTTGTGCATTTTATCACTCTTTGTTTGAACGTTTACTAACTTGAGCGTCGGAGGGTTTTCTAACTCTTTTTTGCAGGGACGGTTCGAAGTGAAAAATTCTGGAAGTCAGGGGGAACCAGCGATGGGTGGGTTATACCATCGCTGGGAGGGAAGTTCATTTTTTCCAGAACTCCTCTTCCCATCGATGGGGACTTCTTCCCATCGATGGGTGATTGACTCTATTTTTTAAAACTTTTTAACGGATTTCCAGAAGTCCACTACCCATCGATTGTAACTTTGAACCATCGCTGGGTGGATGATTTTTTTAAAAAAAAAAATTTCTCCAGAACTTCCCCACCCATCGATGGGAACTTCCTCCCATCGCTGGGTGTTTGACATTTTTTTAAAATTTTTTTTAACGGATTTCCCAAAACCACCTACCCAGCGATGGGATGGTATTAACATCGTTGGGAAGGCTTTTGTCATTTGATCTTCACATTCCAGAACCCACCTCCCCATCGATGGTAGATTACAAACATCGATGGGAAGGCAGCCCTGAGGTCTTCCATTGCGTTCTAGTCGTGACCTTCCCATCGATGGGAAGTCTTACCCATCGCTGGGAAGGCTGGTACATTTCAAAAATTCAGAGCCGTTGGGCACCACATTAATTGCCCAACAGCTATATTTTTGAATTCAAACGGCCTAATCCTCTCTTCCCTATATATATCCATCACATTTGTTCATTCTAATACACCATTCACATCATAATTTCATTCCTTGATCCAAATCTCAATATTTCATCTCCGTTTTCTTCAAAAACGCCACAACTATGGCCGGAGGAAGATCAAAGTCAAAGGCATCCAAGAAGAAAGGCCCTACCGAGGCCACAACCTCTGCGCCTCAACCCTTTCCGTACCTGGACGGATCCTTCCTCGAATTTGGCTCGGAGGAAGAACTTACTTGCATCCTCAATCACTTTGCCAAACGCCCGATCTCTCCGCCTCGTGTGCTACCGGAGCTGTACCCCCAAGACAAAGGGTACCACGACCTCGACAATCAACTCAAAGAGTCGGGTTTGTGGCCCTTCGTCTCCACAAGCCGCACCTCCTACAATCCCGCCTATGTCCGGGCCTTCTACTCAAATCTACGCCGTGACGGGGACACCATCTACAGCAGCATCAATCTCTACGACATAGAGATTGACTTGCCGACATTTGCACGGATCACAGGGCTGCCCATCCGCGGTGACGACATCACGACGTACGGTGGCGACAATTGGATCCTCAAGAACGAGGCGGTCGTCATTCGCGAGCTTGGGATCACCAACTTGATCCGCCACAGCGGCGCGCCGACGATCCACTCGGCCCCACTGGACAAGCGCCTCCTTCTCTACCTCATCACCCGGATTCTTCGCCCCCGGGACAGCAGCCACACCTCGCTCTTCAATGAGGACTTGAAGGCGATTCACGCCATCATGCACGGCGCCTCCATCAACTGGGCGAAATTCGTCACGATTCACATGGCGGATTGCGCCTCCATCGCCACCAAGCGGAGCTTGCCATACGCCATCCTCGTCATGGACCTCATCGTCTCCGCCGACATCCACATCGCCGGGCCAAGCACGAAGATGACGAAGCTGTGGGTCATCGCCGACACCACCTTCAAGAAGAAGTCCAGAGACCAAGACGGCGCCAGACCAAGTCGTGCCCGTGCCCCTGCCCCCCGCTCCCGCCCGGGCCTCGTTGCAGTCCATAGCCGACACCCTGAATCGGCTAACCCTCACAGTGGACGACATTGGGCAGTGCATGGAGCGGATGGATTGGACGCTGCAACGCCAACACCACGACATGACGGCGTTCTTCCGCGGCATCAACTACGTCCCGCCGCCCTTTGACAGCACCATCCTCGGCCAAAACTTTGAGGGCGAGGATGAGGACGACGACTCCTACGCTCCGTCCTCCTCTCCCGACAAGGCCGACTTTGAGGACGCAGTCGACGGCGATCCCATGGACGTCGAGAACGACGAGGACGAAGACGCCGATGCCTTGAGTCTTCCCTTCTTTCCTTATTTTCAAAATATGACTGTACTTTTTTGTTAATTTCCATTCCGTTGTATTCCGCATTTCCCTTCTCTTTAATGAATAAAAGTTTACTTTTAATTCTTTTTGTTAATGTCAAAAGTTTCTTTTTGTATTCCGCATTTCCCTTCTCTTTAATGCATAAATTGAGGGAGAATTTTTTATTTCATCACAAATACTTTATTGAAAATAAAATTGCATTTATTAATGAAGAAGTGTGGTTTTAGTATTTTGACACAAAGAATGGAATTCAATCTTTTCAAAATTGATCAAGCGAGGTATTTCAAGGGTGTAGTTAACACAACAAGTTTGAGTCATTTAAGGATAGTGTTTGCGACTTATCGTTGTTAATCGTAGGTTTCCTTTATTCAATTTTTTACTCTTTGGAAGTTACTCAAGGAGTCATTGTCTTAGGAAATAGTCATTTTGACTTATCGTCTCGGATTTGATCGTATTTCAGGACAGCGAATCTAACTATTCATTGGTCTCAATATATCACATTGTCAGCAGACTACAGTATTGATGAGTACACTTTTGTTTGTAGATAATTGAAGCGAATTCACTTTTCTGTACGTATTTGGCGGGTGATAATTACTTTTCCATCAATGGTCAGGTTTTAGAGACTTTATATATCAAGATTATGGGAAGAGTATCTCACATTCTCACATTATGGAAGGAACTTCTCGATCACTTCCTTACACCATAAGATTCGTTGGTCTACTTGGCAGTCACTCTCTTGGTAGAAATCTAAAGTTTATGGCTACTGTGGTAGATTTAGGAAGGGAATTGATAAGCCGAAAGATAAAACTTGCCTATGGAGGAGGTAGTGTTGGCCTTCAAGGAGCTGTTGCTTCAAAAGTCTTCACCAATGGTGGTCTCGTTAGAGGTTTCATTCCTGGGTACATAGCAACACTACGGGTCTACAGACCTACATATGGCGTAGAGCACACAGTTTCCAGCAATTACTACAAATATTTTGAGATGAATCATGCTGTGGAAGCTTTCATCGTTCTTCCCGGAGGAGTTGACACTATGGAAGGTTTGTTCACCTTGATCTCGTGGGCTTCTAAAGGGTTACACAATAGACCCATTGGTCTCTTGAACATTGACGGTTATTTCAATAACCTAATCAAGTTTCTAGACGATGCAGTGAGGCAGAACTTTATGTCTTTGAGTCAGAGGAAACTTTTCATTTCTTCTTTCTTTGTTGGTGAGCTTTTAGACAAATTAGAGTTTGCTAAAGCTTTCCCGGGACCAGGGGTTAGTTACGATGAGTTTGTGAATCCTGGAAGACTTGACTTAGAATTGCATTTGTAACATTCCTCTTGTAATTCAAGTTGTATTTTGTGTTGCAATGATGTTATCCATAAATATTCTCCTAGGTTGTATGGCTAGTGCGAGCTATATTTCCTTCATTCTTCAGTCTTTCACTATTGGTGTCACTGTCTTGTTTTGTATCGTCACCATGTCACAATCTTTCAGGTCAGTAGGGTATACGAACGAGTCAATTATCTTAATGATTTGTCTTGTGAGCATCACTTTACTTCATTTTGTCAATTCAGACTACATCGATGTTTTTACGATAAACAACTAAATCCTTAGTCGTTTCATAGCAAGGCATCAGTTCATTCAACAAGGTCGAGATGTCTGTAGCTTTTAACAAACAGGTTCTTCCAAAAAATCGTCTATACGTAGTAAAGGGTAGCGATTCTTGATCATTAGTTTGTTCATCATTCTTAAGAGGGATGTGATAGTATCTTGACCGTAAGTCAATCTTAGAGAATACAATGTATCCTCTAAGCTGATCAAATAAGTCATGATACGAAGTAAAGGATAACGAATTGTTCAACTGACAATAGTTGATATAGAGTCTCATTGATTCTTCCTTATTCACGTTTGAACAAAATAGGTATTCAAAGAGAAAACACTTGATCAAATGATTCCTTATTAAGCAACCCTTAAGTTTTAAATTTCAACGAAAAGATATTCAATGTGGAGTTTACATTGATATAAGACAGCGTAAGCCTAAGATCAATACATGCATAATTGTATTGAATTATTGAATAAGGAAATATTTTAATGATGACACCAGAGTTTTCTTCATCGCGGTCTTTCACTGCATACGCATGTGCATGATTTTATTTGTGGATTATTTCCTGCTGGTGCAAGCTGGGCTAAGGTAGACTGTCTTTGAACAGGGCCATCGGCATTGGTTTTCCAAGGGTTTGTAGGACATTCCTTTCGAAAATGCCCAGATTTACCACAACCTATACATAATCCTTGTGTCATCCAATATTCTCCTGGGTGATGTCTTCTACAAGTGTTACACTTTGGATGTTTCCACACTCTCAATTTGTGTTGAGTTAACAAAGGTTTTCTTCTTTTCGAGGGTGGGACACTACAAGTTCCAGTCAAAGGCTTCTATCCTTTTTGGGTATCGCACGAATAGACTTCACACTTGAGATGTTTTCGCATATATATTCGAGATGAAATCAGCTTTGCTTTCACCTCTATAAGGTTACCATCATTGGTCTTCAGTTGAGGAATTCTTCATCACAAGTTTGATAACAGCAACGACGTCTAGTCAGTTAATGCATACTAAGGATAATGTCGATTTCCCTGTATGGCACTTCAACGATGTTTTACAAAGAATTGTCTCTTAACGAATGATTTCGATTCACATTAAGTAATCGCATAATGTGTCCTAATGAGTCAAACAATAGTATCAGATACTTTATATAACAGAGTTTATTGATTCTAAACGTTCGTGTTTGAATTAGCGATTAGATCGTCTTGAGTCCACATGAGGATCTTTGACATGGGCTTCACAGATGTTTCTCAACATTTATCGTTTCTTCATGGTCGTCTCACTTTCGTACAATTTTGCGATGCAGATCAGTTTCGTCATTTGCGATGCGAAGGGTATGTTGATAACGTATCAGGAGATTATAAATATTTCGTTTATTCTTTTGTCTCTTCACCAAGTACCAAAGTTCAACTAGAGTCTACGCTCGATACGGTTTCAGTACTAATCAATTGTTATTTAATGAGAATTCTAACAGAGTCATTATTTACCAAGTAAATTCTCATACCTTAATCCAAGTTTTGATCCGAAGATCGGGTTTAAAACCTTTTGCTCTGATACCAAACTGTAACACCCTAATTTGTCCAGGTCTGCAGTCCCTTTCGGACTAAAGTATTAACTTGGTAATCGTAAAAATTTAAAACATTTCAAACACTTTTATTTATCATAATAATATTTTTCATATCATAAACAGTACGAAGTTTTCAATATTGCGGAAGCTTAACAAATCATAATGACAAACACAATTTATTTATGTATATTAATTCAAAACCATCACATCCATTCCGACAATCTCGCCTCCGTCTGTCTCCAGGATCATGTCACATCATCCTATTGACCTACGTGTAGCAAATAAAACATACTACACGCTCAGCGTTGAAGCTGAGTAAGCATATCTAATGCGTCGAACATCCATATAAACTGAATCTAAATTCAGAATCAAATCATTTGATATCATGCACATAATGTTCAGTTCAGATATTCAATAATCATTAGTCAGTATTCATCATTCATTATTCAACATTTATATTCATATTCGACGTTCATCGGTTATTCATAATATTCACAATATTCAATTCAATAATCAATATTCAATATTCATTCATATTCAATATTCAACATTCGACAATATCCTTAAACTATTCTTAGTCTAAGACCAATCATTTTAATATTTATCAACCCTTACACGAATTCTAGTTTAAATAAATAAACTATATTCCAGTATAAAGTATTCCTAAATAATCCTTAAGTTAGGCCTAGTTTAAGATAAAAGGGTTTTGAAAATCTTAAACTTACCTTCACTTAGGGCCAACCAAAAACCGACAGCGTAGTGTTCACTGTTGGGTGGGTGGTACCCCCAAACGAGTAGGTACTCAAGTTTGGTTCTTGGATCCCGTACGTACGTTTTAACCCTAGCCACCGGGGTTCATACTCGCAAGGGCTAACTTAAATAGGTATATCTTAGAGGTCTTCTAGATACCTTTCAAATCGACATTAATATGGGTATATCTTAGATGTCTTCTAGATACCCTTAACAATATATTATTTTCACATTCATCAATATATTCATTATGATTTAATCATTCACAATTATCATTTTTAATCAGAATATTTATTAAGATTTATTCATCATAATCATCAATCAATAATCATTACCATAATCATTAATCAACATAATATTCAATAACAATTAGCGGCCTAGCTTCGGGTGTTAACACCCTAACTTACCGGCATGCATCACATAACATTTTATTTGTTAAAAATATTACTTTTAATGTGAAAAATCATTTTTATAATGATCATAATCAATTGGTATCAAAAATAGGATTTTAGGGCTAAGAAAATAACATTTTCAGACAAATTTTCGGATCAGAAATTCGGGGGATCGATCCAGCCCTCTGGATCGATCCATATGTAGAGGAATTATGCCCAGGTGATCGATCTACCCATTTGGTTCGATCTAGACAGCCTGGTTTTTGGTTACTGTTCATCTTCTTCTTCGTTCGGGTCCAATTTCAAAAATACCGTTTTTAGTTACCGAACTTCAACGAAACTATATTGAGATGTTCTCCAAGGTTCATAGATCATTTTGGCATCATTAATTCATAGTTTTAACATCAATTTAATGGTTTATGATTCTTGGTTCTTCAAGCATGTCAAACACAAAACTCAACCAAACGACCGTTTATGAACGTAGAAACGATCTATACGAACATTCTAGTCACTAGATATATCTACGGGCTTACCTCGAAGGTAAATGAAGGTTTTGAAGATTTTACGGCGAAACTTCCGGCGAGAATTGTAGCTATCTCCGGCGACCTCACACCAATACGACAGCACCACTGCGTTCTCCTCACTCCCAGCAACAGAATAGATAGAAAGTTTGTAAGAAATGGTGAGGAATTGAAGAAATGGAGATGACCCTTATATAGCCAAGTGAAGGAGGAAGAAGACACAGTGATGACCTCTCCTTCGACTGTTTCGGCGGCTGGGTGGAGCGGGCTGCTGTCTTCTCTGATTTTAAACGTAAGTTCCTGATTGGGACTAATTTGGTCCCAGTCGGGGAACACTTTTTGGTCCAACTTTCTCCGAATTGAAATCCGTTTGCACTGTTGCAATTGTACAATTAAACTCTATCCAACGATATAATTTTTATATTTATTCGTTCTACTTTTTCCGACATCATATTTTTAGGTGGTTGACTTTGACAGAGTCAAAATTGATTTTGTTGACCTTTATTCAGAAAGGCTTTTACATTTCATTCATATTATTTATTCTCATGATTTATTTCAATAAATCATTTCAAAGTTTACATCACAAACAAATTCTTCATTTATTCTTGATTTGGGTCTGTACTTAGGTTCTCAATCAAGGTCACGCAGTAAGTCAACATATTGGATTTATCTCTACGAGATTTATCCGGATTATGATATTGGATATCAAAACATATTTCATGTAAGCCCAAAGCCCAAAAACAATTTATTTTAATCAAACAAATTTGTTTAATTGAATAATTATTCATTAATAATTCTAGGGTATATTTTGGGGCGTTACAGAAAATGTTCTCCCGGATCAAATGGAAAGCCTAGCCAATACGGATGTATATCTAAGTGAGAACTAGTGGGCTTATGCAAATTAGAATGATTAGGAAAGTGCAAGCCGAAGGTTGGAGCTACAAGTAACTCCGGCCTCTCCAAGGCTAATGATGAATCTACGCTCAAGCCTCCCTTGATTGTCATGCATGGCTCGGGAGGAGCCTCAAGAAGTAGATGTTCGGGTTCATCTCCAAGTGGCTCCTCCATGATCTCTCCCAAATCAGATTCCTCCACCACCAGCTCAAATAAAATGTCACTCTCTTCTTTGACCTCCGATTGCATAGTACCCAACACCAACAGATCCTCACCTTTATCAATGACTATCTCTAAATACTCCTCCACCTGTGTATCTTCCTTCCTAGATCCCACTACCTCTCCACTTTGACAAGATTTGCAAGGGAATGTTTGGGGAGGGTAGCAAGGACAGAATGGTGCGTAATATGGGTTAGGCAAAGGATAAGCTTGAGGCCAACCAACATATTGACCGTTGAAGGGGGCGGATATGGTAAGGTTGGAGGGTATATGGGTAAAGACGAAGGTGTTGATGTAGGGTAAGTTATAAGTCCTCAAATGTCATATTTTATTCGCCCATATTAGTCCGTTTTAGTATATTCTAAATGCATTTTATACACATTTAATCACTATTATGTTTTTGTAGCAATTTGAGCCATTATTTATATTTTAATAAAAAATGCACTGCTTTGAGTATTCTTTTACTTCACTATTTTATGATCCCATTTATCTTGACGTTGGTCTTAAAAATTGTTTTGCGAAGCATCAATAGGCTTGGGAATCCCGGGGGCGGTCGAGAACTTGACCCATTGGACCAGTATAAAGTTTGGATGAAGTAGCCCAAGGAAAGCAAAAAATTGCTGCTGGGTACCCTCAGTTTTGTGATAAAAACTGTTGGGTACCCCTCTTTTTAAAAATATACTCCGAGATACCTCTAATTATTAGAAAACTATCCAGGAGGAGATCTTTTTATCCATCCTTCCATTAATCCGTTTGCTCCGTTAGTTTCTTCATCATCATCATCCTCCTCCCTCTCCTTTTTCTTCTTCTCCTCCTCCTCTTCCTTTTTCTTCTTCTTTAATTATCCTCACCCCCCTCCCATCCAGACCCCCCATCATTCCCCTTTTTTTTCTTTTGTTGTTGTTGTTGTTGTTATTATTATTATTATTATTATTATTATTAAAGTTAATTAGTAGTTTTACTACTCTAATTTTTAAAAAAAACACTAAAACCCCACCAAAAATTTGTATACCCCTAATAACCTTACCCAATCACTACTTGGGTAAAAAAATTAAAATATTTAAAATTTTTAAGTGAAAAATAGTTTTGGTAATAAATTTTTGCATAATTTATATATTAAAAATTGTTACTCTGTTATTTACTTAGATATAAAATATATGAAGTACGTTATAATTTACAATAATAATAAGATGAAATTTAACATTATTTTTGTCGTTAAAATAGATAGTGTTAAATTTTCATCTTATTATTGTAAATATTTCATACTATCTTCGTCTCAAAATGATTTGTAATTTTACTATTTGAGTCTCTCGATAAATTTTGTTTACTAATGTATTTTCATTAGTCATTTGACAGCATAAAATGTCCTTGTCGCATGTTTTTTATAGAAATTTTAATAGTTTTTAAAACATGTAATTTTTATGTTTATCTTCATATCAATTTATAGAAAAAATCATATTTAAAAAATATGAAATTTTACACATTGTTCGAATAGCGTAAATGACTTTAGGACGGAGTATAATTTATAACCAAATAAATATCATAGTAAAGCATTTTAAATTTATAAATTATACTTATATCACCAAAACTAACTCTCAATTAAAGATTTAAAATATTTTAGTCTCTTTTTATTCAAGTGGAGATATGAAAAGGTTAATGGGAGTACAAATTTGTTGGCGGGCAAATAAGTATCTGAAGTCAAAGCTTATCAATTTTAACTGAAAAAAGTTAAAAGTGAACAAATACTCAGGAACCGAGGGAGTATAATCATAAGAAAAACTATAATAATAATAATAATAATAATAATAATAATAATAATAATAATAATAGTAATAGTAATAATAATAATAATAGTAATAATAATAATAATAACAACAACAATAATAATAGTAGTGATAATAATAAT